AACTTATTTGAGTCTCAACGTGTGGCCACCAAAAACCAAAACCCTAGGTCTTGGGTTTTAAACCCTATTTAAAGGAACTAACTTCTAAGGCTTCATCTCTTATCAGCGTCCATCCTCCAGAAACCCTAGCCTCATCTCATCCATTCTTATGCTTTGGTGTTTTTGGTGTGAATCTTGAAGAATGAGTTAGTTGTTTTTGTGCACATAAAGCTAGATCCAGAGAGTTCTAGCCTTCTTAGTCCCGTTTTAGTATGATTTCCTTGGATTTTGGAAAACCCTAGGTTGATCAGATGTGATGGTTGGTTTTCTAGACACTTTAAGGTGAAAACGAGTACATGCTCAAACCCTGTTCGAACCATGCAATATAGTCTTTGCCTTTTTTGACCTTGTTTTGGATCTAGGGTTAGCATTAGACTTGTTAGGGGTTTTCATGTTGATAAAGTTTGGATTTGTATCCATTAAACACTTCCCAACATGTTGTTTGGATAGTTATAACCCTTAACAGATTAAGCACTTTATAGAAGTGGATGGTTTTCCCAGGGGACGCGACACAACCAACCCTTGGTTGTGGTTAGGGATGTCAGAAACTTTCGTGGGATCATGCTCCCGTGGGACCCTGATTCCATACAGGATTAATCTTTTGAAAAATTCGAGGGCGGGGGCGGGAGTGGGATTAAACCCTGTTTTATTTTCGAGACCGGGGGCAGGAGTGGGTATTTTCCATCCCGTACTCCTGCGGGGCCCCGTTTGTATATTTATATAAAAATATATATATGTTTAATATAAAAACATATATAGACAATACATTATTTAATTTTAGGGTTTATTGACTTTCTTCCACTTCGCATCATACGACGATATGATAGTGAATTAGTCATATATTTTTGGATATGTCGTACTTTTTTTGTAATGTTGGATTTGTTGTATTTTATATTTGTAAGTTTGTTGGATTTGTCATTTTGTAATGTTGAATTTGTAATGTTGGATTTTTAATTTTTTAGTTGTTAAAAAACTAGATTTAAAGCTTTTAAAGTTATGAAAAATATTTTATTAGCCGAAAATATAACAATTTTGTTTAGCAAAAAGTCATTTTTAATCCTATAAAACGGGGGAACGGGGGCGGAATCGGGGGTGATGAAGGTATTTGGGGGCATGATTGTGGGCTATGTAAACGAGGGATTCGGTGGCGGGGGCAATAACTAATTTCGGGGGTGGGGTGGGGGAAGCCATCATGACTATTTTGGACTGTGGTGGGTGCAACATGACCAAGAGTTAGTTGCAGCGCGTTGACCATTGACTTTTTGACATGTTTGACTTTTGGTCAAACTGTGATGGACATATAGTTTTCGAATGAGCTTGGAACTCTTATTAGTAATGGTTATTATGATGCATCGTATGGTGAATTTAGGTGGTTTGTGTTAGTTGGTTCGTTTGAGGAGTCTTACGTATAAACCTTAGACTTCTAGCTTCATGTGAGTTTTCTCACTATACTATGTGTGACATTATATGTCCTTTGTATGGTAGGATGTTTATGTGACTGATTAGATTATAGTTGGACTATAACATTCATAAGTTGGTGAAACAATATAGTTAGACTATAACATTCGTATTAAAGACTATAGTTTGACTATAGCATTTGTATGAAATACTATAGTTAGACTATACCATTTGTACGAAAGACTAGTTGGACTATAGAATTTGTATGAGAGGTTATGGTTGGATTATAACATTCATATGTCGATGTAAGACTATAGTTGGACTATAGCACTCGTTAGTGTATGCATCGTATATGTGGTGGAATGTATGGTATATTGGAGAATTCACTAAGTTTTGTGTTTAGTCGATATATTTAAATGTATTTCAGGTTGTTCTGGTGAAAAAGAGAAAGACACAATGCGACTGTACTCGCATCTATGATTTGTTTTGAGACTTCCGCTAAACACTAATTATGTTTTCATGACGTTTGAAACAAATGGATATTTATGTTCTTTCTATGAAAATGGTTTTATGGTTGTTATTACTTACATTTTAAAAGAAAATTTTGGTTGAAATATTGGGACAGTGAAACTAAGGCTTTAGAGATTTTTAAAAAATATTTTGAAAAAGATTTTTTTATAAAAAAAAAATGGAAAGATGTGATATGTACAGTCAGTCGGAGCTTAAAAAGAAAAGTGATTCCCGATATGCACATATTTGTTTGATATGTTATTTATGTGATTGATAGTAATGCATGAATGTAGCTTAAGGATTTGCTTAGAATTTACATGCTAGATTTCCTGCTTAGTTGAGATGCCTTGTTGCCTTATATGTTGGTTACTATGTGCTACTTGAAGTCTATGTTAATATCGATAAGTTGTTAAGTGAATGGTTTAGGGTAGTATGCAGTTAGAATCTCTTATACTTGGAATTCTTGATTTGTCCTTATTGCATGTTCCTTTTTTGGTTGTTGCCTTAGGGTAGGATCAGTTATTCGTTTGTCTATCTTATTCTTGACTTTGTACGACTGTGCATTCATAAGGCGACTCGTTGATATTGGTGGAAATTTTGTCTGGCATGATAGCGGTGCAGTATCCTACAGAGTCTAGGAAGATTAGTAGTATGTGCATGAGTATATGTATATATATGTATATATATATATATATATATATATATATATATATATATATATATATATATATATATATATATATATATGTGTGTGTGTGTGTGTGATAGGACGCCTAGTAGTGGCTGTAATGGGAAACTTAAGAACTTTAGGGAAACTCTTAAAATGAGTACGGATATGTGTGGAAGATAGTATATGACCGTACTACCTGAATAACATGATACATACTTGGAGCATGAATGGTCACAAGGGTTCTGAGGAGCTGGTAAATAGTGAAATAATGGGATGATAACACTATGTATATGTTGTAGCCTCTTTCTATTTGTGCCCATAATATGGTAACCACTAAACAGGGAAGGGAGGTTCTGGAGTAGGTCCGAGTAAGCCGAATTATATTATATGATTGATGTTGAGGTCTTGCAATCCCTACTTGATGTTATAGTAGAGATGCTTAGGAAGATCAAGGAAGATTTTATCGTGATGTTTGATAAGAGGTATGTTGCCCTCAGGCAGCTAGAGGAGTTGGTCACCCGAGGCCTAGGACTATCACTTATTGTGACTTTTCTGTGTGTCAACCTCCCATGTTCGATGAGAAGAAGGATCTAATTTTCAGTATGCGATAAATAGGTGAGGTGAAGGGTGACTTTCGCACCGATTTTCCTTGAGTAGGCATAGGTGAGGTTCGTTGTGAACCTGTTACGCCATGTGGCGAAGGATTGGTGGGGCTGGATTCCGCCCATTTCTACAACCGAGCTAGAGCTCATGACTTAGGAGGAGTTTAGGACGCGTTTCAGGGAGTAATATGTTCCCGCGGAAGAGATTGAGCGAGTGAACAGAAGTTACTGGCTCTCAAGCGGACTACTGAGTCGGTGACCGAGATCACCAACAAGTAAAAGGAGAGGGCGATGTTTTTCCACGAGTATCCTGCGAATCAGATGAAGAAGATGCCCCTTTACTCTGTTTAAGTAACTTCCTTGATTTAGAATATCATAGTATTTTATAGCTAATGACAATATTATATATCTAATTAGATGTTTTCTTTTTACATAAAAGAACCTATGAGGACTTTCATTGAGCAGTACATCCATGAATTCCAACCACAAATTGGAGAACATATGAACTAGGTAGTCTTTTAGAAAACATAAACAAATAGAAAAATCATAAAAAAAATTAACAGACCTTAAATGGTAATGTCTTAATGGATACTGTTTCAGAATATCAACAGAATCTCAACATAATCTCAAGTATACCCTTTTGGCATTGAAAAACATAATAGAATATAAAATCAAAAGCATGTAAATCTTATACACAACACATACCGTGAATCTTCAACTTCAACATAAACAGGAAATAAAATATTGTAGGGAAAGATTGAAGAACATAGCTGGATGAATAGAGAATTAAGGAAAAAGAGCAATAGCGGCAACAAAAACGTTAACATGGAGTATTGAGACAATTGTGATGAGTGAAACTGTCGATCCTTGAAGAGTAAGCAAACCTATTAAAACTTACCAAAAAGATAGACAGCATTGCAACCCTTATGGAAAACGAATTGCAATTAGCATGGTGGTTTAGCGCTTGGCGAGAAAAAAGATGAAGATGAAGGAAAGGATTAAATGTTTGGGATTCAACATTGGAGAAGATTTGATTCGTGATTTACTTGGATTAAGTTGAGGAGTTTTTTTGATTTTGTGGGATTGATTAAAAATTTGGTTAAATCTACAAGGTAACTGAAAGTCAGACCCGTAGCATTAAAATAAATTTTTTTATTAGAGAAGAGATTAAATAATAATAAAAATTGGTTGTAGTTTTTTCGTATATCCCCTGCTTGTGGGCTTAAACTGTGCACGCGACATGGGCTTCTCCCCATTATTATATGAAGTTTTATTTTCTATGGCCGACTAAAATCTTTGGGCTTTAGCCCAAGAACCGAAAAACCTAGTGGGTCATCTTCCTGACCCGATTTCTACAGTTTCTTGTCTATTAGCTTCTTAGACTTTCTGATTCCTAATTCTCTCTAAATATTTTTCTAAAGATTATACTCTATCTCTCCACCCAAAAAACACTTCTTTCAATTCAATATAATGATCCAATCCAAAAACATGGTTAAATCTCTGTTTAAAACGTGAAAATCGCAAATAAATTTCAATTCGATTGAGCGCGCCAGGTTCATCAAAATCTGAGCAAAAACATGATCAATCACTTATATCATAACAAAATCGAAGTTTCGAAAAGGGTTTACATGCAATTCAACATATTGTCGTTGATTACAACCCCTTCCTCTTCTTCAATTTCTAGGGTTTCTAATCGTTTTGGATTTCTATCCCAATGGTGTAACATAATATTATGCCATTCGAAATTTCATGAAGCCAAATCATTGTGTTGATTACACGGATAATACTCAAAATAATAGAACTTTTAGAATTTAATGAGGCAAATAATAAACTTAGAAGAACATGGTCATAGGCTACAAACTCTTGTAATTATAAATAATGAAGCATGCACCCACATACGTTTGTCTTATTAAAAATATTAAAAACATACCAAACTTCTCAACTTAAGCAGCCTCCTCAGGATACTTAAACATGTTGAAGGAGTTATTACAATAGCTCAATCCACCATCAACAAGCATATTTTGTGCAGTTACATACTTAGCCTCATCACTAGCCAAATAAAGGGCAGCATATGCAACATCATCTGGTTTATGTGTCACACCCTTAAGGTTCGCGACTCCATTTATCATATTCTCAAAAACCTCCCTTTCAAGCCCGATGAAATCCGCAGTCATCGGTGTAGCAATTCCAAAAGGCGACACACAATTGACTCGAATGCCAAATGGTGCAAGCTCAACAGCTAGATTCCTAGTTAGACCAACTAACGCGTGTTTTGAACACGAATAAGCATGACTAGCCATACCTCCAAGATGTGAAGTAAGGCTAGATGTTGTTATAATCGAGCCTGATTTCTGTGGAACCATAACCCTAGCCGCATGTTTCATGCACAAAAAGGTTCCTATGACATTGACATTAAGTACACGCTCGATGTCCTTTTTCTCATTGTCTATAATGCGTGGCTTGAAAGCATCTGCTACCCCTGCGTTGTTGAACATGATGTCAAGTTTTCCATAAGTGGCGACTGCAGTGTCTATGGTGTTTTTGACTTCCTCTTCATTGGTGATGTCACAATGGATATACATTGAGTTTGATGAGCCTATTGCCTCGGAGACTGCTTGACCGAGTTGGTCTTGTACGTCTGCGATGATGATTTTTGCTCCATGTGCGGCAAAAAGTTTTGCACAACACTCACCAATACCACTCGCTGCTCCTGTTATCAATGCTACCTTTCCTTCTAGTCTATATCAATTGTATAATAATGTCATATTCACAATATTCTTGAATGCTAACTTACATAAAAATAAAACAATTCTATGGTTGATTAATTTCAAGTAATTTGAGAGTAGACAAATTGTGAAAAGTCATAATGTAATTCACTCGCTTATCAATTTGTGCAATGTATGTTATTTTTTAGTGATAATAGGAACATACTTATATGGCAAAATATTTATATTTTTTTTACTCGTAATAATAATATGTAACCATAAACTTGTAAGGTGTGCTTTATTTAATATTAACAACAATGTTCTTATATTTATTTTCATATGATAGCAACATCCTCACTTTTTTTTATTGACAATAATCACTTAATAAAGTTTTTTGTCCGCTAATAAAAATGTAATCTAACAATTGCATACTTTTTAACTGATAACATAAGTGTAAATGTAAAAAAAATGCCATTAATAATTCTCATTTCCTCTTTCTGTTACTTAATTTATAAGTGTACTTAAAAGCCAATATACTTTTCTATTATTTATTTATTTATTTATTTTTTATGTTTTATCACCCTTATGTAACAACTTGTTATTATCGAGTTTGATAGGTGTTAGCTATGATGAAACAACTATACAAACATAAATGAACAAATTTTATCATATTTAATATAGGACCGATGCTACATAAGATATTGAATACCATTTTATCATATTATAATGATGTAATAAAACATAGGGAAAAAATAAACTTTTCTGGCTTTTTCAGTAGAATTAAAAATTTGGGATATAAACGATTAAGTCAGAGTACACGATGTAAATTTTGTAAATTAACCCATAAAAATATATGGTAACAGGGTATTTTTTGTAGTTTACCTAAATAATAACATCTATGAATAAAAACAAGTATTTGAATAAACAGTCACTAATAAACTAACCTTTTTGCAGGAATTGACATTTGTTACAGACGAGAAAGATATAGCTTCAGAGGAAGATGATGAAGCTCAAGATCTATTCTATTGCGCAAAGGAGACTGAGTGATCTGCTTTATTTGGCCTTCAGTGGCTCAAGCTCAAGTGTTATTATATAGTGGAGATTGATTGGCATGCTTATTTTGACCTTATGGTTGACCCCAGGCCCCAGCTGTGATTGTTTTATTTCATTTTTTAAGATTTAAAAAAAAAATGATTAAAAATCATAAGAACCAGCTTATTACAATTTGAATATAAAAATACGTATGTAATAAACTAAACCAACTTTGTTTTCCTGACAATATTCCCAAAAGATTTTCCAAACTCAAGAACAATCATTAAAAAAAAACGTCTGGTTACTAAATAATGTTTCGGAAAATAGATTGCTAAAACTATTTTGAGAAAGTATATACTCCAATTAAATAATTGAATATTTTTTTTTTGTCAATAACAGGCTGCTGTCTGAAGATGCAGAAAAAAAATGAGAAAACCGTGACCAACTTTTAAAGGATTATAAAATGCATAGATCTCATTGAAAGATGCAAACTTTAGCATGGGTTTGGTAGCCTGGGAAACGAAGAAAAGTATATATATATATATATATATATATATATATATATATATATATATATATATATATATATATATATAACTCATACTTTCATAAGAACCCGAAACTAAAAGTGAAACATTAGATCAAAATTAATTCATTCAGTATATGATTGTCATCTTATCAATCTCATTTAATGTTTAATTTTTTGTTTTATTAGAAATATTAATAAAAATGTCTAAAAATTAACAAAAAAAAAAATCAAATTTTCGGATTTCTTTTTATAAAAATAAGAAAAAACATCATAAATGGTCCCTGTGGTATCCCAAAATCTGAAGTTTAGTCCCCATGGTTTAAAAACGTCATAGATGGTCCCTGTGCTTTCAAAACTTTTGACGATTGGTCCTTATTGCTAACTCCGTTAAGTTCTGTCCGTTAACTAAAGGACATTTTCGTCATTTCACTGCCACATGGACCATTTATGATGATTTCTCTTATTTTATAAAAAATGAAATAATATACAAAGGGGTCCAATCTCTCTCTCTCTCTCTCTCTCTCTCTCTCTGTGGGAAAAAGAAACCCACTCCCCCGTCTTCTTCTTCTTCCTCACCTATATGAACAAAGCTAAATCTGATGTCCTTCTTCTCCGTTTTGATCAATAACTTTGTATAATGCATTTGGATCTGATAGATAAATACATGATCCCACCCATTGTTCCTCTTCCAATACAACTATCTGTCCAAACCATTCAATAAAACTATGTTGTGTCTCCTCTTCATTGTACATCTCTGACTGAACTCTGTCGCACTGCAATTAGGGTTCGCCACCAAGATCAATGATGAAAAGAATGGCATGTAGAACAACTCAGCTTCGTCTGGATCCAAAATAAACCCTGGTCACATAAGACCCAGATGAGATGGGAGAAGAAAATGTGGAAGAAGATGAAGTGAAAGAAACAAAAGAATGATCAGAACATGAAACAAAATTCCAAGAATTTCCAACTAGCAAATCAACAAAAGCTCCAACAATAAACTGATGATTGTTCTTCCCATTCATTCTCAAATGCCATCGCAACAACTTTTCCAACCAAGCCTAATCTTTCAAATTATGAGTCTCCACCATCTCCTTCATCGATTTCTTAAAACCCCTGTAAGGATTCTCAGATTCCATCACCATCACCACACTCTCTTTGAGGAATAAAGACGTAATCCCACACTATCGAGCGATCTTTTTTCCGTTTTAGAAAATAGAGGCACCCAAAACTCAGATTCGATAAAAAAAAATTCCATCTTTGTGACGAAAATGGTGTAGAATGTTAGAATTAACAAAGGGAAACATGTTTGATCGTAATATGGTTTGGCAATCTAAAGAATAGAAAAAATTTCAGAATTTAAACTTATTGCCCACCAAGTGTTTGATCTTTTGTCTGAATGAGCTTTCCATGCTGTAACTTATAGTTCTTAGTTATGCTCATCGATTTCAGCAATTTGGATTCACAAATTTCTGTTTAAGCCATCAATTTGGCATTTAAATTTGTTCAAGCAATCGTTAAAATCCTTAAATCATGAGCTGTTAGGAGAGAGAGAGAGAGAGAGAGAGAGAGAGAGAGAGAGAGAGACCTTTATATATTATTTCATTTTTTTAAATAAGAGAAATCGTCATAAATGGTCCATGTGGTAGTGAAATGACGAAAATGCCCTTTAGTTAAAGGACAGAACTTAACGGAGTTAACAATAAGGACCAATCGTCAAAAGTTTTGAAAGCACAGGGACCATCTATGACATTTTTAAACCACGGGGACTAAACTTCAGATTTTGATGTTTTTTCTAAAAATAATAATTTTTGACTTTTCAAAAAATGCATATTTTTTATTTTTTTATTAGATAACATGAAATAAAAAAAATGAAACTTTTTAAAAAAAACTGCATTTTTTATACAGTAAATTTTTCAAAATCAATAAATTAAAAAAAAAACTATAATTTTTTTTAACAAAAAAAAAAATCAACGTTTTAGGTGCATATATATGCATATTTCTTATACTATAATATTTATAAGTAAATCATAAAAAAACCTATTTTTATTTACTAATCTATAAACACAATAGTACAAGTATTTTATTCGATACAGAATAAAATATAAAAAACAAAAAATGCTACAAAGTTTCAAAGAGTTTTCATGTCTTCGTGTCAAGATTTTCATATTTCTTCAATTTATCACTTTTCACCTCTTCAATATGTTTTCCACAAATTCTTCCAAATTTATAAGAAAATTAAAAAAAATGATTAATGCAAGAAGACTCACAAAAATGCATATGAATATATCTTGTAACATTCACATTTGATTATATTATGTAAGATTCACATGTGATTATATAATGTGATATTCGCATGTGATTGTATCTTTTAAGATTTAAATGTGAAATTCAAAATAAAACTATAAATAAATAAATAAAAACAATCAACAAAGAACACTCACACAAAATGCATGTGTGCATATAGACGTAATTCATATGTGATTCACTTATGGTTTACATATGATTCACTTGTGATTTACATGTGAATCACATGTAATTCATATGTGAATCATATGTAATTCATATGTGAATCACATGTAATTCATATGTGATTAACTTGTGATTTACATGTGAATCGCATGTAATTCATATGTGAATTACATGTGAATCACATGTAATTCATATGTGATTCACTTGTGATTTACATGTGTCCAACAACATATCCATATGAACCACATGAAAATCTTCCATCAATTAATAATGCATATTCTTGTAAATTTTCACAGATTTATATATCATCACTACCCAATTTACACGATCTACACAACTTTTACACTCACTGTCACATAAACAATGTCATTTCTATAATTTTTCATTATTCGTTTCATTATATATTTGAATTTTTTATGCTTATTACAGTGATTATTTGCAAGGATCATGGGAAAAACACAAAAATAATATATTAATTTAGTGCTCTATTTGTTGATTCTATTAACACCTGATTCACCAAGGTATCATATTTACAACATAAATGATCACTAGTTAGCATAGATAATATATTAATAATACATTCTTAATGCAGCTAGTTTTCTATGTGTTTCTATTGCAATTAATATATGTTTTTAACACAATTCTTACTTTAATTTTGTAATATATTCAAGAAGCATGGATCTAGCACTTAGAATGTCTTTCTTTTGCTTAAACTGGCCCTGAAAATAAAGATGGTCTTCATTTCACAACTGGATATGCATCAATTTTATTAAGTACCAAGTTTGACATTGAAATTGAATTCCTTGTTTCCAATGGCATGTAAAATGTAAATAAATCAGTGAACTCATACCTTGCTCTGGCACAGTCATGACATCAGCTGGAACAATGGTGTAGTTTTCAAGCCCACAAAGGAGAAGTGATCCAATGACAGGTACAAGCTTCACAATCAATGGAGTACTATCCAAATTCTTAGAAATAGATAGTGTGCACAAGAAGAAAGTAAGTAGCCACTTAATTGGAGTGATGGTGAAAGATTCTTTCATTAAGGTTGAACTGCTGAGATTTAATAACTCATAAGGGATTGATACTACACATATGTAAAACAGATGAGGATGGCATGGTTGCTTGGTGAAGACTAGTGCCAAAAAATTCTAGTTAAATCTACCAAAGAAGCCGGAAGCAAAACATTTTCATTGAGCACTTTGTTACATCATCCGTATATTTTTTGGATGTGGAGATGGTGTCAAAAACTAATCAGAAACTTGTATTCTTCCCAACAATCTTCTTTGGAGCATTTTGTCGAACAACTTATATGCATGATAGCGATATCCACTGAACAACTTATAATTTAATTAAACTGAAAAATGAAACAGGATCCAGTGTTACTTGATTCAGATCGCTATAAAAACAAAGAAATTGAAGCTAAAAAAACTCATGATAGAGAGAACTAAACCTTTACTTTATTCAGATCATTATAAAAACATGATCTAGTGTTACTTGATTCAGATCCTTTATCTCTCGACTCCGTGACAAAGCCTGAGCCAGATTTAACATTCACTCCATCAAATAGGTGAAACAAGAAGGTCATTAATAGAATTTTTCGTATGAGCAAAAGATAAACACATCATATCGCCATACTCTGGAAACAGAAGATGAGAAGAGGCATTGTTCAGTGGATTACATGACTCACGAAATATAGAAGAGATTGAATGAAGATCTTTGGAAACATCGTTATATGGCACATTTACTTTCATCTTCGGTTTTTTTGACATCCAATTTACCAATTGATCATCTAGGTTAGCAAGTAAAGAGCTCTGAAGTATTAATTCTGTTTTTACCATTAATCAAAACTTGAAATACCCAACACAACTTGCAATTTGGAAAAGATTACAAATCTGTAAGAACTGAGAAAGGTAGATCGATGAAGAGGGGAGGCGGTATAGGTGTAACACCTCGTTTCGAAAAGAAACCCTAAACTTAGAGATTCAATGGATTATGATTTCTTTTGACCAAAAATCAATGATAATTTAGCAAGGC